GATTTTGAAGTTGGAGGAGAAAATGAGATGGAGTTTTAACCCCTACTCTACCTTTCTGAACTGGAGTACACAGATGAAGAGCTAACCACACTTGACCTTTCCAACGGGATTACCTAATGCGTGGAGCAATGCACAAGCAGAGCTAAAGCAAGATGAGCATTTGTGGTTAAAAAGTATATAAATGTTTATTGTTTTAAGAAAATGACCGATGGTTTGGCTAGATAAGACCCTTATTCCTCAGCTGAGATCGTGTAGAGCCCTTTGAAGCTGCATTGAAACTGCAATTTGGACCTTCAACCGTTTGGTAACTGTTGAAGTCCACTACATGGACAAAAATCCTGGGATGTTTTCCTCAAAAAACTTAATTTCTTTTCGACTGAAGAAAGAAAGACATGAACATCTTGGATGACATGGGGGTGAGTAAACTATCAGAAAATTTTAATTTGAAAGTGAACTAATCCTTTAATGACATCAAAACATTTTTAATGTATCAAATTAAAGATGTGTAACTATTAGGTATTGCTGTGACCTCAGTGTTTACAATTGGATTTTTTTTTTTTTAAATAACACCTGATAAGATTTACTTCCAATATCTGCCAATTCAAATCAATTTAACAATTTAATGGAAAAAAATAAAATAAAATGAAAGGTGTTTTAAGGACTTACACTAATGTTCAAAAGTTTTTTTTTTGGAAAGAAACTATTATTTATATTCAGCAAGGACAAATTAAATTGATCAAAAGTAAAGACGTTTACATCGTTTCAAATAGAAGTCCCATCTCTTCCTATACGTTCTGAATATTTGATTTTGTCTAGCGCAGAGTGAATTTGAGCACATTTACTGGTAGCAGATGGAGAGGTGGGCGTCTGATGTATTCACAAGTCTCATCTGTAGCACTGCTGCTTCTAGTTTCTCCTCTCCCTCTATCATTCTCACCCTCCTCTGCAGCCTGTTATAAAACTCTCTGTTTCTCCACTGGCACTTGCTCTCCTCTTTCCCCTCATCATTTTCCTTCTGTTCTTTGAGGAGGGTGTGTGCTGTTTAATTCCTGGCCGTAGCTTCCACCCCCACACCCCCACGGGTCTCACAGCTGTATGTAGGTCAGCTGGCCCCTCCCCCATCGCACTGCCCTACTTTCAGCTGTAGCTTCCGTGACGTCATGCAGTCTGCCCGTTGCTAGCATAGCATGCTAAGCATTAACGCGCCATCCACTCACTGCTTTATTTGGTCTCTGCAGCATCCAATCAGCAGCTGTGCTATCGTAACACTAACACTTTTCAGGGAATTAAAAATGCTGCAGATATCACAAAAACCTTTTCTGCACTATTATGTTGTTTCTCTCAGTTAAAGCTTTATTTTTTATTTTTTTTCCCCTGGTGTAAAAATGCAGATTAAAGTTGGGAAGCTGGTCTAGGCTGGTTTAAAGGGACAGTTCACCCAAAAATTAAAATTCTGTCATCATTTAATCACCCTCATGTCGTTCCAAACTGTTTCCCATACTATGGAAGTCAATGGCGACCAGCAACTTGTGTGTTCTTCAAAATATCTTCTTCAACAGAAGAAAGAAATTCATACAGTTTTGGAACAACAAACAACTTGAGGGTGAGTAAATGATGACGGAACTTTCATTTTTGGGTGAACTATCTCTTTAAGCTTGTTTCCCTGCTTGTTCAAGCTGGTTTAAATGTTTAGCTCGCTGATAAGTCCCTAAAATCCATCTAAAACCAGTAAACCAAATCAGTTTGACTAAAGGCTGATTTATACTTCTGCGTCGGACCTACGCCGTAGCTTACGCATAGACACACCCATACGCCGTAGCCTGACGTGCACCTCTCCAAAAATCTAACAGTGCGTCAATTCTACGCAGACCGCAAGCGCTGTGATTGGTCTGCAAGAACCCCTCCCTCCATATGTACTTGAGTTTTGTGTATGTTTATGTGTAATGATTTGATATTTTTTCCCCGCCGTCACGGCTATAAAGCTTCTCCGACGAGCCGCTTCTTCTTCGGCTTTTGCCGTGGTACTGCGGGTTACACCAGCAACATGCCCGTGGACACTGCTGACTAGCGGTTTGCATGTGTACTGCACGTTGACGCGGACAACGACGCAGAAGTATAAATGAAAACTGACACATAGCCTACGGTGTAAAGGCTACGGCGTAGGTCCGACGCAGAAGTATAAATCAGCCTTAAGCAAGCAGGTTTAAAAAAAATTCTTTAGAAAAAAAAAACAGGAATATTAATATATTATATTAAATATAAGTGGGTTTTTTCCAACAAAAAAAAGAAATAATACTTTATTCAGCAAGGAAGACATTTACAAAAATAGAAAAAGTTTTCTGTTTCAAACAAACTTTGTTCGTCGATTTTTCTATTCATCAAAAAATCCTGAAAAAAATATTAAAGCATTAAAAATATTAAAGCAAAATATTATAATCTCCGCAAAAATAAAATATAATTTTATATATATCCGCATAAAAGACTTTCAAAAACATTAAAAAAATCATAACGATTCAAAAATTTTGACGGTGTACAGGTACAGGAAGGTCATGAGACTAAACTGTTGCTATTTAAATAACTACACAAATATTTGGCAAGCTCCACTGTGCGCGATTTATTTGTTCCTAATTCCACCACAAAACATGAGCTTTTAAGGCGTTTAATCCATAAACGCTTCTACTTTGTCTTACTTTCTCTAAAAATGTGTACCACACAGGCCAGAGTCTCACCTGCGCTTGCGCAACTTGTTATTCTCGGTCTTGAGCACGTGCAGCTTCTTGGCAAAGCAAACGACGATCATGAAGAGCAGGAGCACCATGAGAGCGGAGGCCCCAATGGTGATGCACATTACCTGGAACTCCGTGATGACCGACTCGCAGCGGGCACCCTTGTGCCACATGTAGTCCTGGATGTTGCACCTGCAAGACAAAGAAAGGAAAATATATGAAAGCCTTTTCCACCAAACTAGTAGCAGATTTTGCTGCAATGGTCAGAAGGCAATTCATTATACAATGAATACAATTCATAACAATCCATTCAAATAAAGAAATAATAAAATGCAACATACACAGGAACATCAACTGAATGTGTGTTGCATGGCCATATCTGGTATTTCCAATGTAAACAGGTTTGATCTAATTCGTTTTGTGTGATATCAATTTGTTTTGCATCAGTCTTGGTAATATTAAGTTGCTGTTCAGAAAACGTTACTCTTTGCCGACATTATCCCATCCATTGGCCTCTGATATTAGCAGTCCCTGGTTCAAGACCAGCAGGATTTAGGGGCCAGTGCAGAGCCAATTTTTCTGCCTTTTCTCCAATGAAAACAACCTGGAGCAACATGGCTCTTACTGGGATTCGTTTACCAGAAAATATCACACCAACACACACTAATTTTTGAAATGAGCCACACTTTAAACACACCATATTAAGACACACAGGAGGCACAGTATTTTAATCCTTACTGGCTTTGATTCCCCATGTAGTCTCTGGTTCCATATGAATTATTCATGGGGACTCAGTGCATCTCCGACACCAAGGGTGAGTTAAAATTCACTGCCTTCAGCATTTTTACCATTCATTTTAGCAGACACCTGGGTGAATGACAAGTTCACTGCCTTTATCTTACCATAAGTTTCTTCTATACTGCATTAGACTGGATTTAACACCAGTTCTGAACTAAGTTCAGTGTACTAACTTCGAAGACTGTCAGGATTTGCCATATTAAAACTCTGTGACATTTGCCTTGAAAATCCAATAAGGCAATCCAATGTCACAATATTATGTTGAAGTGTGTATGAAAATGCTGCTACCAAAAAAGGTTGCATAACGCAGGGGTTTGCATCTGGGTTTTGTCAGGAATAAAAGCATATGGGCATCTGCATCCTCTCCATCAGCTCCCTAAACTCTTCCTCCTCCATTGTGTGCACATAACAAACAGCTTTGAGGACAGACCACTAAACAACATCAAAGGTGCAGATTGAAGGATGAAATCTGATATATTAATTAATAAATAAATAAATATAATATTTTATAAATTATATTAAAAAACATATTACATATTTATATATATATATATATAAATTGTTATAAAATATAGATAATACACATAATTTCTATTTATAATCTATAATATTTTGAATATTAAACTAAATTACTATACATTATTTCCTATGATAAATTATAGAATATTTTAATTACATTATAATTTAAAGTACTATAAAATGTATTAATTATATATTGAAAATCTGAAAATCTGATTGGTTCATGCCATTGTTGATGTTGCTCCAAGAACAAGTCCTACTTGGGCAAATCATGTTAAGTGTGAAATGCACCTTGTGCAAGTAGAATAAAAAGCTTCAATGTGGGGTCATCATGCAGTTAATCGTGGGAAAGACAGGTACAAATAGCTGGAGAAGGCAAGAACCTTACTGAAATAAAACAGATGTATAATAAAACACAAATCTGATGATAACTGAAACATTTGCGAGCAATCAAACACAAATGATCTGCAAAGACTGCAACCCTGGGCCCTTCTCTCTCCCTCAACCACATCCACATATGCACACTCAAATGCAAATATCTATAATGAAAGGAAGTCGTCTTCATTCACAGTCTTGGTGGTCACGGGAGGGGGCTCTAAGGTTTCACTCCTTTTCACTACAGCATTCTGTATGCCCCTTTGCGCCTGCGCCAACCCCGAGCGAGACGAAGGAGAACAGGGTTGGCGCAGCGCCACTGAGGGCATTCAATCTCAGGAGGGAGAGGTGACGGGTGCATTGATGTGAGCGTGCATTTAAATGCATCCTTACAGTGGGCTGTATAAAGCAGCCTGTCTATTCAGCCCCTCAGCTGTTTCTCATCCACCCTCCCAGATCTCAACACTCCCTTAATCGTGTTTGTTTCTTCTGCAAAACTTTGCATGCTATCTAAATTAAATTCTACACCCATTCTCTTGCCTTTTTTCCAACCCAACCCAATTTTCAGGGCTTTTAGTCAAGACCTTCCTTTCTTTCTTGCGTTCTTCTGTTCTTATTTACCTCATCCACAGTCTCTCTCTCTCTCTCATGTTTCTAGCTGCAAAACCTTGGGACTGCGTCAGTAGTCAAACATTTTATGCAATCAATCATATTCATCTCATGTGAGCTGTCTTCTCAAACAGAGCTTACAGCAATGAACCCGTTTACCCAGTATTAATATTATTATGTGAAATAAAGCTAAATTAAAGCAACTGCAACTGACAGGCTAAGTGCAAATGATAGGTTAAGTGAGTTAGTGTGTTTGATTTCAGAAACACAGACCAGATTACAAAACAAAAGCCACCAGGATACTTAAAGGGATAGTTCACCCAAAAATGAAAATTCTGTCATCATTACTTTCTTTTTTCTGTGGAGCACAAAAGAAGATGTTTTAAAAAACATCTCTTCCTTTTCATCCATACAGTGAAAGTCAATAGGCTCCAGTGTTGTTTGGACAGAAGAAAGAAAGTCATACAGGTTTGGAACAACATGAGACAGAGTACACTGAGGGGGAAAAAACACTGGTGTGGAAACAATTTTAACTCAGAAATTTTACAAATAATTAGAATTAAACAGCAAGTAACACATCAAATGAAACATGAAAATTTGAAGTAGAAATACTGAAATAGTATTTTCTTGTAAAACAAACTCCAATAATCTTTTTTTAAATTTATATCTTAGAAAAATTATACATTTTTTTTCATACAATTCACATTGTGTGAATTCATACGAAATTGCCATCTTAAAAATAGTTATTTTTAAATTACGTTTTCCTGTGAGATCGGTTTAGGAAATCCAGTTCACTCTTGATTTCAAATTTTCCACACATAACACCAGATAACGATGAAAGCCCGTTTCAGCCACTGAATAATTTTTTTTTTAAAAGGTAAATGCGATGTTTTATCTCACAATTCTGACTTTTTTTCTCACAACTATAAAGACACAATTGTGAGTTATAATGTCAGAATTGCGAGATATAAACTAGCAATTGTAACAAAATAGTCAGTTTTTCCATAGAATTGGAATTTATAAATCGCAACTGCGAGTTTATATCTCACAATTATATCTCACAAAAAAAAAAAAAGAAGTCAGAATTGCGAGGCAAAATGTGAGATCATAATTTCTTATGATCAATGAAAATTTAAAGGGGTCATAGGATGCGATTTCAAGTTTTCCTTTCTCTTTGGAGTGTTACAAGCTGTTCGTGCATAGATAAGATCCCTAAAGTAGCAAAGACTAAAGTCTCAAACCCAAAGAGATATTCTTTATAAAAGTTAAGACTGGTCCACGCCCTCCTAAAACACCTCGTTCAAACACGCCCCCACATGTCTACGTCACTGTGTGGGAAGATTTGCATAACGCCGCCCAAATGTTCACGCAAAGAAAGAAGGCGTACCTTTATTGTTGCTGCCGCTAGTATGTGGAAAATAATATGTTTTTTTAACCTTAAACCGCATAAACACATTTCACTACACCAAATACACAAAATAATGTTGTTTCTAGCAACATTATATGAGCCCTTTAAGATAGGTGGATCTAGTTGTACTTTTGAACAGACAACAATCTCATGGTAATTCATAACTCTTATGTTTTGGTGAATTGGTGGCTAATTCGTATAAAAACATATGATCTCATTCATACGTTTTCGTACAATCTTCTTGCGCCCCAGTGACACAGATGTTAAGGTGTGGGATTTCATGCCTAAAAATCGCAAGTTTTCATGCTATTAACAGTACGAAATCACACAAAATCACCTTTTAAAATAGTTACGGTTTCCTGTGAGATTGGGCTGAAAAATCCAAATCACTCGATTTCAAATTTTCCACAGGTCAGAAATGTGAGATATAAACTAGCAATTGCAATAACAAAAGTCTTTATTTTTCGCAACTGCAAGTTTATATCCCTCAACTCCGAGAAAAAAATTGCGAGATGTAAACTTGCAATTGCAAGAAAAAAGTCCGAAATTTGAGATAAAATGTTGCAATTACCTTTTATTTTTTATTCAGTGGTGGAAACGGGCTTCCATAGATAACAAATGAATAACTCTTAATAACAAATCACACAACATACAACCTTACCTGGCTGCATACAGTACATTAACAGTAAATATTAAGCAGTATGTACTAAAGCAAATCTCAACAGCTTAATTGTTATACTATTGAAAATTGTAAACTACATTATAGTTCAGCGATATATTAAAAGTTGGTTATAGTACATCCTATGTACGTACAATACAACGTAAAGTGGAAAACACTCGAAATTTCGTATGAAAAATCAACTATATTATCAGTCAGCTCTTTATATAAAGTATATATTTACAATTTTGAAAAAACATTTTTACAAGGTAAATGATGAAAAATTGTTATCTTTAAGTGAACTACCCCTTTCACCACACAAAACTTGGTCCCAATTTGAAAGAGCTTTGGTTAGCAGCATGACTATGCTGGTGCACTTGGAAATGATGGTCTAAGCAAGATGAGTTGAATTTGTGCCGTTAATCTCTGTGTATAAATATGGGCATTTTATGAAGCTGTCGCGTAGACAGATGGTCCGGCTAAGACTGTGTTTGTGTGTACATGTGTGTTGCATGGAGTGCTGAGATGGATGGATGCCAAACAGCCCTAGCTGAGCAGTAGCAAGCAGTAGTTGAAACAGATGTAGTGATGACATGTCATTCCATCATTAATATCTCTCTTAAGACCAAACCTCCCCTCTGTTCCCCTCCATTTCACCACTTCTCTCTCTTTCTCTGCTCTGCTATCTCTTCATCTTTCAAGAACAACATAAATACAGATAGTCTATATGTTGTAATAAAAATGTCAAGACAGCTTTCTCTGTTGGCATAAATATGCATAAGGGTGGTTACACATATTTTACGTTATAAAATGCTGCAAAACCAT